CTTGTGAATATTTCAGAATCCATCCTTCGCTGTTTCAGTGTAGATATTTACTGTCATTAAAATGTTCATGTACAGGTATCTACAAGTATGCCTAGGTACTTGTATTTACAAGTATCTCTAGGTACCTGTAATTATCTCCAGGTATTTACAAGTATCTCTAGGTACCTGTATATTCTAGTATTTACAAGTGTCTCTAGGTACCTGTAAGTATCTTCTGGTATTTGTATCTGTGGGTATCTGTAAGTATCTCCAAGTATCGACAAGTATTTCTATGTACCTGTATCTCCTGGTATTAACAAGTATTTCTAGGTACCTGTATCTCCAGGTATTTACACGTATCCCTAGGTACCTGTAAGTATCTCGCGGGATTTACAAGTATCTCTAGTACCTGTATCTCCAGGTATTTGTAAATATTTCTGAGTATCTGTAAGTATCTCCTGGTATTTATAAATATCTCTAGGCACCTGTATCTCCAGGTATTTACAGATATCTCTAGGTACCTGTATCTCCTGGTATTTACAAGTATCTGTAAGTATCTCCTGGTATTTGTAAGTATCTCTTGGTATCTGTAAATATCTCTTGGTATCTGTAAATATCTCTAGGTACCTGTATATCCTGGTATTTATAAATATCTCTAGGTACCTGTAAATATCTCCTGGTATTTACAAGTATCTCCAGGTATGTGCAGGTATCTACTAGAAAAGTTTTAAACCAGTTACAGGTATCCCTCGCAAGTGGGAGAAAGGCTAAAGTGTCAAGTTTCACGCTAAGTTTGACCTTGTAAATAAGGTATACCTTATGGGTATACTGGTTGTACTTGTTGTTATGCTGTGTCACTGCTCTGGCTTGTTTGGGCTGACCTGTACACCTTTTTTTTTGTGACGCTCTTATTTTATGCCTCTTAGCGGTGATTGACTGTTCAGTATGAGCCCTTGCTTGGTATTACAGTTTTCTTACATTGGTATTACAATTTCCTTACCTTGGTATTACACTTTCCCTACCTTTGTTTTACGGTATCCTTACCAAGAGCCAAGCATGAGGGAGGCACTGGTGCCTTTGAAGGATACGTGGGACACTAGTGGTGGTGGCACCAGTGCCCGTGGAAGATGGATGAACAAGACACTTGGAGACGTTTCGCCAGTTTGTGGCTTTATTAGTCAATATAGAGAACGATGTTTGAAGACGATGGAAGGCATGGAATAGTTTGAGGTAATCAGTCCCAAAGCCTTGATAAAACTAAGACGCTGGAAGACTTGAAGTAGTAGTTTGAGGGAGAGATCAGTATTTCATTTATGTATAATACTGTGAAGAATGCGTGAGGCATTACCTACCTGGAGGTAGGTAGTGGTGGTGGCGGCACTGGTGCCCATTGTAAGTGTAGTGGTGGTATCAGTGGTCACTCAGTGTAGTGGTGGTATCAGTGGTTACTCAGTGTTGTGGTAGCATCAGTGGTCACGCAGTGTAGTGGGGACATTTGTGGTCAGTGTAGTAGTGGCATCAGTGGTCATTCAGTGTAGTGGGGACATCAGTGTGGTGGTGGCACCAGTGGTCACTCTGTGGCGGTGGCATCAGTGGTCACCGAACATGGTGGTGGCAGGCGCGGCGCCCCCCTCCCCCCTCACTGCTGTATCGGAGGAGGCGTGTTAGATGCTGGTCAACGGCATTTATACAAGAAAGTGGAACTACCCACCTCTTTTCCTGGGCTCAAACTAGATTACCTCCCATTATCCCCATTATCACCCGTGTAAGTTAAGCGCTTCCCCGTGAATATTATAATCTTAAGAGCTACGTACGGTGAGGGTTCGTAGAGAAGTGTTGAGTTTTATTCTGTGTTTCATGAACGTGGCTCCCAAATATCCTTTCACACATTTTTAACCTAATTTCCCCATTTAAGAGACTTAGGTTAGGTTAAATCGTAGCCTGTTAACCAAATCTAATTGATTATAACATGTCATAGCACCAATCAATGCAAGGGAACATGAAGGCGAAAGAGACATTTGAAGCGTGAAAAATGAAGCCGCGACCCACCGAGCTGAGTGAACTATTAAATATTTGTTCTAGTGTCAGCGGTCATACATCAGACGGTCGTCATCCGAGGTATTACACTTTGACCTAGTCCATAGTGGCTAGGTTTACGTTTTATTTGTGTATTATAGTTCACCGTATTTAAGTGGGGTTGATTAGATAGAAGTAACTTCACCTCATTTAAGAGAGACTGTATACTTCTGATTTTGGTAGTGTTGTAGTGGGTCTTATGATGGCTGTGGTGTGGCTGTAGCTGTGGCTGCTCTGATGTAAAGAATGGTTGTGTTGAGGTGTGTGATCAGCTGGTGGTCGCTGTGTTGTGGCTTATGGCCGTTTTATGGGACTTGTGATGACTTTCGTGGCTTGTAGTGGTTGTGATGCAGTTTGGGGTGGCGCTGTTGTGGTTTGCGTTGGCTGTGTTGTGACTTATGATGGTATGACTGTTGTAGCTTGCAGTGGCTGTGGCCTGTAGTCTTACGTGTCCCACTGAGATGTTGCAATTGGAAGTTTGTGTTGAAATGGAAGTATAAGTGAAGAATTGGCGGAGGAAATATTTCTATAAATGATTGCAGATAGTGTTAGGATACCCATGGATGGTTGAGTGGCATGGATTGCCCATGGAAGGCTGTGGGTGGGCTTAGTGGGCGGTTGGAGGACAAGAGTGGGAGTGGTTTGAAGCGGTGCACATCCGTGTGTCGCTCCGCCCCACGTAATACCTGTGGGCCGGCGGCGCTCATGGTCCACACACACGTGTTAGGGGCCTTTAAATTCGTCCTTTACGGTGAGGGTAGGCTAGCATTGTGTTGACCACAGCTCTGAGGTCTGTGGCAGCAATAACAACTGCAGGAGGGTGTGTTGTGCCCTGACGGACGTCCATTAGCAGCCGCGACGCCACGCCGGCACTACCCCTCTGTCAAGCTGCTCCAGGCCGCTCCTCTTGCTCGCCGCTTCACCGACGAGGTGTTAGTAGAGATTAGACCGTGTGTGGCAGTGCTTGTATAAACCGCGGCTACCTGAAACTTTTGAAAAGTCTCTCCTCCATTACTCCTGTGTAAAATTGATCTCCTTATACATAGGACATTTGGAAATTTAATCTTAGTTTTTGCCTGTGGACGTGTAATTTCCTCCTAGTTAAAAGCTGTAATGTTTTGACCGCTTAGTTTTTTAAATCGCTACACAAATTATTATTCTTGTTTAGAACGATTGTAATAAACAAGTATCGTTTTCCCAATATGGCTAACTTAGTGACTAGAAAGATGGTCCTAAACCTTATTATAGATTGGTTGTTTAGTATTGCTAACCTAGTGTTTGGAGATTGAATGTGCATTTTAATCCATATTGGAAAAAGGAATGACATTTTTTCTTAATCTTGCGTAGTTAAAATATTAATAGAATGATGGTCGACCTGACATTCAATGCAGCCTACTACCTCTTCCCATCTTAACTTTTCCCTCCACATCTGCCTGTATTTTTTTTCTCCATTATGCTTAGGCACAAGTACCTTTCCTTCGTTTACCTTGCGTCTTCCTGCTTCTGTTTTGTCTGCCGTATTTACTGCCATTTGTCTCTCCTTGCTTTCTTTTCTTTAGCTTATCTTCTAGCCTTATTATTTCCTTTCTACTGATGCGTGCTTTTCTCCTTTTACTCGGGTTTCCCTCTTTCCTTCGCCTATGTTCTTGGCTTTTGTTTCTGCACCTTTCATAATGCTCTACCTTAATTTACTTCTTCGTTTCTTGTTGCCACCTTCCCTGCCATGCTGCAACTTAACATATATATATATATATATATATATATATATATATATATATATATATAATATTATATATATATATATATATAATATATATATATATATATATATATATATATATATATATATATATATATATATATATAATATGCGTGATTGCAAATATATAGAAATGCCACGGTAAAAATAGGAAAAGCGCCTGAGAGCTTTCATGTGCTTACACATCTTCGCAAGAAGAAAGAGCAGCATATTTTATGCGTTAAACACTGAGGTGATACCTCGCTTCAAGAATGTGCCACCTCGTAAATCTTTACGATGTAGGAGGCCTACTGGTCCAGAATTTAAATTATAAAAAATGAAAGTTTTCTAATAAAACTGTGAAATGCAAATACATAAGTCGGACCTCTAAATTTATTAGAATTATATCCAACCATTCAGTAGGAAAAAGTGTATAGGTAATTCAGATTTAACATTTCAGTCATAAAAAAAGGAGCACTAGTAGGTTCACCGGCCCACTCCATGACTTGACTCCAAAATCCTAACAAATTCCCTCATCCCCCTACCCACCCACCCGCTCACTCACTGGGAGAGTTGTCATTTGGGGAGTAAGGTATCGCCTCAGTGTTTAACGTATAAAATGTGCTTCTGTTGTCTCTTCCAGTTTCTCTAAAGATATGTATAAGCACATGGAAGAGCTCAGGTGATTCTCCTAATTTCACTGTGGTATATGTAATTATATAAGATTTAAATTATATATAGATTTATAATAAATTTATTTTAATCTACACGTACAATCCTAGTGTTGCAACTTAACTGTGTATATACAAATAAGGTAGCTAGTGACGAATCCCGGGTCCAGGAGTGCCTGTCATGCTCAGGTTTCCCCCACTCCTGCATCTTGAGGCTATAGTGACGCTGCGCATACCTCCAGATCATCATAAGATGAAGCCAGAGGAAACTTCCGCCGAAGCTGAAATGTAATTAGTCTTTTTTTCCTACCCCTTACCCAACCTACTGTACCATTTGCCAGAACATTAGGGTATGTCATAGCAAGTATTAGGCGAGTAGAGATAGCGTGTCTGGCAATTAAGTGACGGAGGATAAAGCCTCTTACTACTCCTTTCTGCGTTGAATGACCCATATTGTTTTAAGCGCTTTACATGAATATCATAGTGATTACGTAGTTGCGAGCCCACAGTAATGTTTCGGCTCCTTCCCCTTCTAGGACAAGGTACTCGTCACCACCACAAACCCGAGTGGAGAAGCACTCCCCCGTCACCACAACCAACGCCGTCACCACCTCCATCACACCAACGCAAGATTCGCCAAGTGCCCACGTTCCCCGGAAGTAGGTGCGCCCCGGCCTATGGAGGACTGGAAGGATGGCCTCCCCGTGCCCTCAAAGTCCGCTAGTAGTAAGAAAAAGAAATCAAAGTACCGAAAGGACTCTTGGAGCAGCGTTGAAGAAGCTGAAGAGCTGGACCCTAGACAGGCCTTACATCCTACCACTATGCCGGTGAGTATCCATGAGGTGTGTGGTGGATACGTGACTTGTAATCTGGCGGTCCGCACCACCTCGAGTTTAAAGTGTAGTTTTAAAAAATATCCTCTTGGAACACTAGCTGATAATAGCCCGCACAAACAGCTTCTGTTAGTCTTCCCATGGACAGCGTTCACACCTAGAGGAGTGCCCCAGGGGTCCTGCCCAAG